CCCCAAAACCCCAAAACCCCAAAACCCCGCAAAACTTTTTAATTTAATACATGGATTAATGTAAAATAAATTGATATATTGAGGTCATTATAGCTCATTAATCGAGAGGATTAAGTCTCTTTTGTTCTTGCCTAGTGAAGACAGCTGTGATCTAAGGACCTCCAAGATCCTTTAATTTAGCAATTTCATTTTAAAGTTCTTTAGCCGCTCCACTCACTATATTCGATCTAGACTCTTTATTCAGATTCAACTCTTTCTTGATTAAATCTTATTCAAGCAGATTGTCTATTTTATTGAATAATTTCTAATGTTCATTTATTAATGTTTTTTCCTTCATAAATCTGTCCAGAGTAAACTTACTTCTAGGAATCGCTTCTTCTAAGGGACTCTTAGATTTAATCTAGTTGTTTTCATTAGGCTGCTAGAATTGATAAGGATTCTGAGAAGGATTAGTGTAAAGTGTCTAGAACTTTAGATTGACTAATGAGACTGGCTGATTATTAAGATGGATGTTTCCTGCTTAATTCGTATTACCTCCATAGTTATTTGTGGGAGAGACTAGATTAGTCTTGCTATGTATTGGGTCTAGAGAAGTGTCTATAGTTTACCTGGTGTTAAGTCGCCTGTTGTTGCTTCCCTAAGTGATTGGCCTTAGATTATTAAGGATGGCTCTGCTTTCATTCAAAATTTACTAGGGGATACTAACTTCCTTGACTAACTCTGCTGGAGTCATCTCGAAAAGCTGCTTTTATTTGTTAAGATTTGAATCAGTATATATTGAATGACGTCGATGGTGCCCTCCAATCTTAACAAAAGATCTCTTCTTTTGCTCACTCTGCATTACCTTTTTATTAGTCGTAGTATCTATTTCGTAACTTCTAGACATATCTCTTCGCTTAGTGCTTCCTGCAGTTTTCACGCGAGAGGACTGAATCTGATAAGGATTAACTTAGCTGATTGCCATGTTTTTACTCTCATTCTTGACTAACTGTTATTCTTCATGAATCTTTTTCTTAAGTTGATCCTACCTAAAAATGAAAATTATTAGTTTTAGTTAAGTACTGTCTTGACATCATTTTGATTTGCTTCTGGAACTTTTCGATTCTCTCTTGATTCACTATTTATTTCCCAGATTTAATTCTAGCAGCAGTTGAGTTCGCTGAAACTGGCCTAGACTTCAAAAATGATCTGAAACCCTCGTCATGTTTTATTATTCTTTAAGTTTCAGAGGCATAATTCGGATCGTTCATGCCATCAACATAAGCTATTAAGTTTGAATAATATTCGATTCTTACATTAGGAAAGAACTCCTCCAAGTCTAGCTGTTGAGAGTACTTAATTAGTCTATTGGAGTTGATCTTTAATTTAGCCATAAAATTTCGGATCAACTAGCATTCTTTGATACTACTCATTGATTTATCTTTCTCTCATTTTTTCTTTGTGTTTAAGCCCAGTCATCATGTACTAATCTTTAGACTTGCCAGATCCCTTCATCTCTCCCTTAACCTTTTTACTTTTACTCCACTTCACTCCATCAAATCTTAGCTTTCTTCCAATTAGTTCATTGTTTAATACTTTTTGAAGAAGTGATTAGGGATTTTAATTGAACTGTTTGGTCATTGAACGTAGTTCAATCTTAAAAACTTTATCCAATCTTCTTGCATCTAAGGGCTGCATATCATATTACTTTATAGAGGTTCTCTCTGTGGTGAACTCTGGCTTGGGCAAATTGTTAATCATATCAATTCTGTTTCTAGTATTGCAAAGCAAAAACAGGAATTCGTGAGGAAATAGTCTGTCATGTGAATCAGTCTCCTCCGGAAAACTCATTTGCTTCTTTTCCTTAAGTTCTCTTTCTACTACTCTGACATGTTTTTCGAATTGCTTTCTGTCTGCTTTTTCACATTCTAGTTGATATCTGCACTTCTTTATCCAATGTCTGACTAACTCCTCACTCATAGTTCGGTTAATTAACTGATAATTTAAGATAAGGTATATTTACTCTTAACGTGGAGAGAATAATATTTTCCTTCAGAGGTATATTAGTCTCCTTTAACTCTTTTTCCATCAATGTGAAAGCATTTATGCCAGCTCTAATGTCTTTTAATCTATTCATTAAAATGACTTTTTATGAGGAAATCTTACGTCAATAGTCCTTTCTTGTAAATGATAATGGAAGTTGTAACTAGTTTTACATTGCAAATTGTTTCTCTGTGATTTAAGTACTGAAGCAAGCATATTAGCATTAAGATTGATATTTTACCAAGGGAATCTATGTCAAGAAATTGACATTGTACAGAGCTTTGAATAAAGTCTGAATGTCTATATCCTAAAGCAGATTTGTCACTTTATACTCTTTTCTCAAAATCTCCTTCAAAGGAGCGATAAAAGGTCCTAACTTTAAATCTATTACTCAAATGCTTAGTTTTATTTACCTATGTGCACTCCATGATCACTGACCTACATAGAAGTTAAAGCATGAATAAACAGATAAAAGGATAATTACTCAATGTCTGAGAATGTTAAGGACCCAAGGATTGAGTTTTCAGGGATAATGCCTACAACATACACATCTTCTTTCATATTTTAATTAAGTTTTATATCAGCGATTTGCCAATTTAACTCTTTAATTTATTATTGATTTCACTTAATTTTGATATCATCACATTTACGGGGTTTTGGGGTTTTGGGGTTTTGGGG